GAAAAAATGATAGCACATAAACTAAGTATTTAGGAGACCATTTTAGACCCATCGTGAAAAAAGGCAAATTTTAAACTAAAACTAATCAATAGGAAAATTAATTACACAATTTACACTATATTATTCTTTGAAATATTTTATTATTTTTCTTTTATGTGTATGAGTGTATTGCCTGCATATATGTGAGCACAGTGTCATGTAATGCCACCGAGGTCAGAAGAGCGCTTCGATTCCCCTGGAACTGGAGTTAAGGACAGTTTGTAGCCGCCATGTGAGTACTGGGAATCAAACCCAGGTCCTCTGCAAGAGCAGTCAGTGCTCTTAACCGCTGAGCCATCTCTCTAGACCCTACATTATATTATTTTTAAAATTTTATTTGTGAGTTGGGGAGATGGCTTAGTTGGTAAAGTGCTTTCTGGCCAAGGATGAGGACCTGAGTTTGGATCACCAGCACTCACGTAAAAATAAACAAAAAAATCACCTAATCACAGCTCTGGGGCTGGAGAGATGGCTCAGTGGTTAAGAACACTGGTTGTTCTTGTAGAAGACCTGGGTTCGAATCCTAGCACCCACATGGCAGCTAACAACTGTCTGTAACTCCAGTCCCAGGGGATCCAACAGCCTCTTCTGACCTCCACGGGCACTGCATGACACGGGTGCACTTACCTACATGCAGGCAATACACGCATACACATAAAATAAAAAAACAAATTTTTAAAAAATTGCAATCCTTGGGTTAAAGAGATGAACCAGAAGCTAAGAGCACTGACTGCTCTTGCAGAAGACCCAGGTTCAATTCCCAGCACCCACATGGCAGCTAACAACTGCCCATAACTCCAATTCCAGGGGAATCTAACACCATCTTCTGACTCTGCGGGCACTGCACGACACGGGTGCACTTACACTCATGCAGGCAATACACTCATACACATAAAATAAAAATAATAAATATTAAAAAAAAATCACAGCTCTGGGAACAGGAAGATTCCTGGAGATCTTACAGTCTAGCCAGCTCCAGGTGAGGGGAGAAACCATCTATGTGAAGTACAAAGTGACTGAGGAAAACACCCAATGCTAAGCCCAACACACATGCACATACACATTAAAAACTACATTTACTATAGTACACACACCATGACTGTAACAGAGTACAGGGTGTACGATAGTACAGTGTACCTGCAAGTTTTTAAAAATGTAAAAGTTTTTATTTATTTTTAATTTTGCATGTATGTAAATATACCCATGTGTGCAATGCCCACAGAGGAAAGAAGAGGGAGTCAGATTCCTCGGAACTGTTAGCCACCGTATGGGTGCTGGGAGCCAAACCCAGGACCTCTGTAAGAGCAGCCAGTGATCCTAACCACTGGGTCATGTCTCCAGACCCCATAATATTTTTATTAAAGATTTTATTTTAAAGATATCATCTGATCACCTGGAGATGGCTCAGTGGTTAAGAGCACTGACTGGTCTTGCAGAGGACCCCGGTTCGATTCCCAGTACCCATATGATGGCCAACAACCGTCTATAACTCCAGTACCAGGGGATTCAATGCCACTTCGGATCCCTACAGGCATTGTACAACACGGGTGCACTTATGCATATGCAGGCAATACTTGTACACATAAAATAAAAATAAAATCTTTTTTTTTTAAAAAGACTCAAAATCAGAGAAAGAAACAAAGGATAACAATGGCCGACAAGCCCACTGCTGCCTAGGACTCTGCCTCAGGCTTTCGTTGAAAGAGTCACCACACATGAGCACTGGTTTGGCCTACATCATTTCATTCTCCACTGAACACAATGGTCTCTCAACAAGCTCTATAGTTGACTATCACCAAAATGGACAGTGTTTGTTCCTGGCGGTACTCACTGCAACTCACTATCACTCAATAAAGTACAAGCAAGGAGGCTTAAAACAAACCTAACAGTGGGGTGGCTTAAATGACTCCCACATGAGGGCTATACACTTTATAATGTTTAGCGCATTACTGTTAACAACCTAGAGAAAGGGAAATGAAAGACGAAACAGGTCAAGTGAATCAGGCAAGTTACAACAACACCAGAACCGAGTACGGAAGGCTGGTTCCCATTTCTGAAAACTAATAATGCTGTTTTCATTCATTTTAAACAAATATATGGAGTCTTAGAAAATCTTCACAGAATGTGTTTTGATCATCTGCAGGCCCTCTGCCCTCTCTCCATCCCTTTTATGGCTCCCCCTCACTTCGTGGTTTCTATTATATGTTCCAGGGACTATGGAGTATAATTTTGTTCCCCAAATGCTCTTGGGTATGAGTCTATCCAACCTACCAAGCTTCACACCCTTAAAGAAAGTGAGAGTCGGCTACCAAATGCCAAGAGTTCTAACTAGGGCTGGGGCTTCTTTCCCAACTCCCTCATTCATGCTGAGATTTTGCCTAGCCTAGGCTTACTCAGGTCTTGTGTATGTTATTGCAAGTACTGTGGGTTCATACATGCAACTGCCCTGTTGTATCTGGAAAACACTCTTTCTGCCTTCTCTTCCCTGGTGATCCCTGAGCCTTGGGAGCAGAAAGTGTAATGCAGATGTCCCATTCAGGGCTGAGCACTGCACAATCTCCTATTTTGTGCACGTTAACCAGTTGTGTGTGGGTCTTATGTTAATCGCTGTCCACTGTAAGAAGCTTCTCTGATGTAGAACTGAGAGATGCACTAATCGGAATGATGGGCACTTAGAATGTTTTTATTTTTTATAAGGTGATTGTTTTGTTTTGTAGGGATTGAACCCAAGGTCTTGTACAAGTTAGGCAAGTTCTCGCTCACTCAGCTACATCCCTAGGCCCAAGGCAGGCTTTAAAAAAACACATATGGTCCATTTTT